CCTGCTTCTGGTTTCTGCTCAGCATTAGCAATTCTTTCCTAGGAAGCAGCTGCTCCTCCAGGCAACATTAACCCTCAAGGTGACCTGGCTTCCAGATGAACTCACCTTACCTGCCAAGGCAGGCTGACCAGGGCACTGGGACCTGGTTGTGTGTCCTGGTTTGGATCTCTTCAGCTTTAATTGAATGACAGATGGATGCCAGTTTTTGTTGGGTTCAGCCATGTTTACTAGTCTTTGAGTACCTCAGTTTCCCTCTTTTGTTTCAGCTCCCACAAAGGGTGGAAGAAACATGCTTTTCCCTACCCACTTCACCCATCTTATGGTGGGGGGTCCAGGATCCAGAACGGTCTTTTAGAGTTGTCCACTTGGGTGGGTTGTCGTCCCCTGGTGGCTGAAATTCACATCTTGTGCGGAAGGGTTGGGCTGGTTAAGGCTGGTGCTGGTCCTCACAGTCTGGGCTCTGCAGGTTTCTCTAGGCCCTGGTTTCTCTTTGGTGGGGCCAGTGATAAGTCTTCTTTCAGAGCCTGGTTTCCAGATCTTGGTGATGGCCCTAGGGATGCTGTCAGGCCTGGTCATTCTTTTGGTTTTTGACATCCTATACTAGGACAGGGTCCTTTCATGATGCTCAGCACTGGGAGAATTCTTGACAATCCCTAAAGACTGTGAGAACATTTTTCACCCCGGAGCCCAGGAGAAAAGAGGGAGGGTTCCCACTGCAAAGGCAAAATGCTGTCTCTGCCGGGCATTGGTGGCACACGCCTTTAATCCCAGCACTCGGGAGGCAGAGGCAGGCGGATCCCAGTTAGTTCAAGGCCAGCCTGGTCTACAGAGCAAGTTCCAGGACAGCCTCCAAAATAATACAGAGAAACCCTGTCTCAAAAAAAAAAATGCTGTCTTCTCCAGGTGTCCCTCCTCCACCTTGCTCCCATAATATAAGCTCACTGCTAAAAATTATATTGTTATTTATTCATTTTGCATATGTGTGGGCATGCATTCACATGCCACAGCATATGTGGGATCTTATAGGACCTATAGGCCTAGGAGGTCCTTCTGTTGAGGGAGCTGTACGGAGGCCAGCCAGTGGGCGAGACAAGTAGAGGAGCAGAGTCAGCAAGAGAAGGTGGGCTCTGGGATTCAGGCCAGTCCAGAGGCTCAGGGCTGTTAGCCCTCCCACGTTTTCTCCATGCCCATAACTTGCATACCTAGGAGCAAACAAGTCCCACCTGGGGACGTCAAACTAAGTTCCTCCTCTCCTAGCTTGGCATTTCACCTCTGCCAACTCTTGTAAAGCATTTCTTCATCGTTCAACCCTGCAGAAATGTGTGTTTATGAAGCATAGTGTCTGGGTAGCTAGTGATTCCAGGAGTTGCAGTCTTACAAGAAGCCATGCCTCTGTGTCCAGAGGGGCCTGTTAGTCATGTTGGCTGTCCGGCTTTCTGGTTGCTTGCAAAAACTCCCTCCAGGGACTGCCTTGGCAATTTCTTGTCTCTTTCCAAAGCCAGACTGGAGGAAGCCACAGGGTGGTTCAGCCATTGAGCCCCTCGGAGATGACCATTAGCCTTCAGATTTTATTGATGATGAAACAAGGGCTTCTGTTCACTTAGCAAAATATTTACTTTCTGCCAGCCTTGGCAGTCAGAAGTGGAGACATGAAGATCAATAAAAAATGTGGTTCTTAGCCTGAGGAGCAGTTGCAAGACAGGGATGATAATTAGATAATACAAAGGCTGAACCCCAGGAATACAGTAGAGTGCCTTGGTAAGAAGTAGGATACTGCTTCATCTGGCTCTTGAGGGATGTGCAGGAGTTTACTCACAGTGTCTAGAAGGACAGATGCCATTCCTGGTATTCACAGAGCCTTTGTGGGGTGACATAGGGCCCAACTGCTGGTGTGCTCTGATGAGTGAGCCATGTGTAGGTGAGGAGGTATGAATGAGGGTGGCCAGCAGGATGTGAGGTGCCATCTAGGAGTGCTCAGGAGGGAACCAAAAGGTCATGAAGATCTTTTACTGTGCCCTGGGGGAGCCATGAGCACAGGGGTTGTGAGGGTAAGGGATGGATTGAGTGGTTAGGTAAGGAAAGACTGGACAGATAAGACAATGAAACAGGGGTGTGGTGGGGAGTGGGTGTGTGGGTGCCTAAGCAATGGGAGTTTTTGGCTGGGGCTGGAAATGCAGAATAGGAAGGAGGAGTTGTGATGTGTAAGGACTTCCTGCTGGGTAAGGATGTGTGGTCCACCCAAGGGAAGTAACATTAGCATGCTTGGAAGTGGTCAGGCAAAGGCAGCTACCCTTCCTCTCTCTTTGTTCTGCAGTGCCTCCTGCCCCCATGAGTGGTTGGGGCGTTGTGATCATGGATGCTTAATACAGGTCTCTCCCAGTGGGCTCAGATTCTAGACGCTTTAGGGCCTCACAGCTCCAACACCCCCCTTTCCTGTAAGGCAGCATGGTCTATTTTGAGATCTGATCCAGTGGCTTTGTCCTGCATGAGTGGTGTGTGCTCCAGGAACAGCAGCCTGAGGTTGTGCTGAGAGGCCCTGATCTTGTCCAGGGCTTCCTGAGACGTTGCCCAGGGGCTCTGAAAGGCAGGCTTGCCTGCTGTATGGCCTAAGTGCTCTTGTACTGTCCGCAGCCTGGGATGAGGCTGTGCCTTCAGGCTCATTCTCCCTGCAGGTTCCTGAGCAGGTTCTGTCATTCATTTGTCTACACCCCGAGTGTACCCACTGAGGTGTTTCACATCCTTGCTCCCACACTGGTGGCTTATTATCTGCTGAGCAGGACGGCCCTGCGCCTGTAGCCTGGGTCTGTGGTCTCCACAGCAGGATGGTGAGTAGAACACAGGAGAGAGAGTTCACACCACTTACTCATGTTTTAGTCTCACGCCTCCTCTTGCTTTTGTTTTGTTTTTGAGACAGGTGCTCACTTTTTTTTTTTTTTTTGCTTTTTTATTAATTTACTTTTTACATTCAAATCCCAGTTCCTCCTCCCTCCTTTCCTCCCACCCCTTCCACTCCTCTCCTCCTCCCATCTGCTCCATGGAGAGGGTAAGGCTCCCCCCTAGGAAGTCTACTAAGCCTGTCCCATCATCTAGTTGAGGCAGGACCCAGGCATCTCTCCATTCCCACACTACAGGTGCTCACTATGTAACCTTGGTTGGCCTGGAAGTCACTATTTAGACTAGACTGACTCTTAAAGATCAGCCTGCCTCTGCCTCCTGAGTACTGGGATTCCAGCTGTGCACCACCAAGGCCAGCTCTGGTTCCAGTTAGTGAGTAGTTATCGCTAGCCTCTTGATGTGCCTGTTTTACAAAATAGTTTCTATTGGAGGTTCATGTGTATTAGAACAGCAACAGTATAATATATGTAGCTTTTGGGGCCAACTGCAGGTTAGGCATCTGTAGGGGTCTTAGTGTTTCCCTTGTGGATGTGGGTGACTGCACACTGGGTTTGAACATTTAACATCTGTTTTGCCCACCTTTGGTTCCATATCCTGGTGAGAATTGTGGTTTGGTTAGGTAGAGAGGTGGCAGTGGAAGACCTTACAAGCCTAGTAACTTTCCAGTGTCTCTTGTGTTACACGGGTCGGTGTGGTCTGGCTGGCAGACTGAGTCTTCCCAGGAGGCTGTCACTGGGTGAAGTAAGAGCCTGGGTAGAGGTTGCTGCTTTCTCTCCAGGGATGGGCAACTCTGAGGGCGGGTGGCATGCTTGCACATTATTTCCTCTCCTCCCCCTACTGTGGAGAATGGAAGCACTCTTCGAAAAGATTATTCTGTCCTGGAATGAAACAGCTAAGCGTGCCATGAGAGCAGCGTCTGAGAGAGGCCATAGGCCTGGGGCATGAAGCCTTATTTATAATTTAGTGTGACTTATTTCAGTTGCGTGTGGGGAGACAACACGATATCATCAATGCTTGGGGCCTTTACGATTCTTCCTAAAATGAACACTAAGGATGTTTAGAGAAGAGCACGAGGGCCCAGAAATACCGCCCAGCACCAGCACCAGATCTTCTTCACTGTCTGAAGAAAGAAGCTGGCACTGAAAGTGACCGGCTTCTCCTCTCCTGGGGCAGAGGCGCCCACTCAGAAAGTTTGTTTCCACCGGACATACGGAGACATCTCTGGTTGCCTCAGTGGGGAGGAGCTGCCATCCTCCAGTGGGTGGAAGCCAGGATCGGGGCCTGCCAGGCATTCTGGAATGCATAGCACAACCTAGTACTGACAACTTGCCCCAGACGTCAAGCCCCACAGAGCTTTAAGTGCAGAGGGAACTGTCTACCTTTGTGGCTTGGGGGCTTCACACATGGGCTGTACCTTATTTCTCTAGGTTGGCCATGTAGGTTGATCTGGTGGTTTTGTTTTGGTGGTGATATTGCAGATAGAATCCAAGGTTTTGTATGTACGAGGCAAGTGCTCTGCTTCTGAGCTGTACCCGTATGCCTGGGCTGTCTCTTATGACCCCGGTCATTGTCATTGAGCGGAAGGGAGTGCTGCTACATGCTGTCCTCATGCTGTGTGTAGAGTCACTTCCATCCTTAGCTGCAGTCACACTGCTCCTCCTGGGAGAGGTGGTCATTGCCTGTGGTCATGAACTTTTCCTGTAGTCTCCCGAGGCTGAGCTTCTCTTCTCATGTATTTTGGTCTCCTGAGTTTTCCTTGGGTCTCTAGAGAATCCTCATCTGAGGATTTCCATCACACCCAGAGTTAGTGCCACTTCCTCCTTGGGAACCTGCCTCGAGAAGCCATGGGCATCTGCATACAGTGCCCACAAGCACCTCCGCAATCATTAGCCTAGCGCCCTCCTGACAGTCGACACGGCTGACTAGTCTCCAGCCTTTTATCTTCCCTTTTATGAGACTCAAGTGTAGTGACTCTGTCTGGACTTGGATGCCCCAAGCTTCCTTTATTCTCCCAGAGGTCTTTGCACCCTGAAGCCTCCCAGATCCTGGCAGTTTCTGAGTGTTGCTAGACAGGTCCCCTGCTGATGGCAATTCTGTCCTTGCAGGCAGATCTCTTCGTTATGACCTGGCTGTTGGGGTACGTGGACCCCACAGAGCCCAGCTTTGTGGCAGCTGTGCTCACCGTTGTGTTCAATCCGCTCTTCTGGAATGTGGTGAGTACCATTGTGTTGGCATTGGCTAGCCGGTGAGCCTGCTGTGGTGGGTCACTGCTGTCAGCAAGCTAGACACACAGTCCGAGGGATAGATGGTGGTTCTGTTCTCAGTCTTTCCGTGCCTGTTACTGTCCTCTTCCCTCCTTTCCTCCCGAGGTGCACTCAGTCAGTGTACACTGAGGGGAGCTTCTTGCCTTTGTGGAGGCCCTGGACCGATGTCAGGGTGATCTAGGGTGTTCCAAGAGCCTACAGTAGACAGCTGCGTGGTGGGGGGCTTCCACCTGCATCTGGCCTTCTCACTGGATGGCCTGGACTGTCCAGGTTCTTCCCAGTACTGCTCCCTGGGTTGCTCTATGGCAGCATTGCTTTTCTTACAGGAAGTTTCTGAACGTAGCCCACACACTGGGTGGGTGTGCCTGATGGAAGACAGGGACTGAAACCTGAAGACAGTGGCACTCAGTTCATTATGACACAAGGAGATAATGGAGGCCAGAGTGCTCGCTGAGGCAGAGCCTGGGGTACCCTGTGATTGCCCTGGAGCTGGTCTGTAGAAGGCTGTGCTTGCTGCCAGAAGCACACTGTTCCCAGACTATTGTCAGTTCAGCTGTACCAGGGTAGAACACTGTATTCTTTTCATCTGGTTTATGCTTTGGATCTTTTTTCCACCTGAGGCAATGATAGGGTGGGTGGGGGCAGGGATGCTTGGCTCAGAGCAACCACCTTCTGAATGTTTTGTCCCTGCAGTCCTGAACATGCTGGACCTGCCTTAGAAGGGAGCTGCTGGGTGGGATCCAGATGTCAGCCAAGACCACTGTGTAGGTGTGACCTCCCCTTGCTCCTGAGAAACCACGGCTTTGGCATGTGCTGCTCGAGTGTGCCAATGCTGGCCCTGGTTCCCCGATAGCCTTCTGGCACGGCCAGACACATGGTGCTCTGTGCCCTTAGCCTGCCATACTCACTCCTCACTCTTCCCCTGTGCCCTCTGTCCTACCTGTGCACGCAGAGCCTGTATGCCATGGATCCAGCAATCAGGCTGCAGGACCCTGTAGGGGACAGATGCTGACTTAAGCCATGAGAGAATGTTTCTGTTGTTTTAAACGAGTCAGAGGAAACTAGTACAGGGCATGAAAGAGGCTCCTGGCCTGGCTAGGAGATACCATAGTCCTAACTCAGTTTCCACTAGATGTGGTGTGTATAGTACTCTCCTGCAGGAGGCTGCTGGCCTCCATAGCTGGATGGAGACTGTGCTTTCTCTTCCAGTAGGCCTAGGTTTATTAGCAGGTGCCTGAGTGTGGACTGGGTTCCCAGCACAGGGAGAACAGTTGGCCAAATGCACAGTGGGTGTTGGGGAATACTTTTATTGATGTTCAAGTCTCCTTTGTTCTTTTTCCAGTGACACTTGAAACAGTATGTCTTTGCACACTTAATTTTGAAGCTGAGCTTGGTCCACAGGAACAGCCTAAACAGCCCAGATCTGGAGATGAGTGCCCTGTGGCTGTGCATTTATAAGTGGTTCCTTTTTTTTTGTCGTAAGTTTTTGATTTGACTCATTTTGAATAACATTATTCCTTGGAAGAATGTAGAGTCATTAGTGGAAGAATGAGTGAGCTCTTTAGTATCATTTCAGACTGAGACAGTTGGGCCAGCTGAAGCTCAGAGGAGCTGAAATGGCATCTGGAGGCAGGAGGACAGGAGGCTGGAAGTCTAGCTCTGTGCTTGGTGGGGACAGGAAGCTGTTGTAACAGGTGCATGCTGGACGAGTAGTGCAATATCTTGCTGACTATAGCACTGGGCATGGCTCACTGTGCTCAGGCTTTGTTTATTTTTGGGTCTTTTTTTTTTTTCGAGACAGGGTTTCTCTGTGACTTTGGAGGCTATCCTGGAACTCACTCTGTAGACCAGGCTGACCTCGAACTCACAGAGATCCACCTACCTCTGCCTTCTGAGTGCACTGCCACCCAGCCTGTGCTCAGGCTTTGTGCCTGGCATTTTTGCAAGGGGGCACTGCAAGGTGCTGTCATTCTTACTCTAAGAAATGGGTTGCAGGAAGGTTTTAGCTCCTCTCTGTTGCTTTTATACAGTGGTTCTTAACCTGTGGGTCGCGACCTCTTTCACAGATGTCACACGTGTTAGATATCTTGCATGTCATATATTTACATTACAATTAATAACAGCAGCAAAATTACAGTTATGCTGTAGCAATGAAAATAATTTTATGGTTGGGAGTCACCACAACATGAGGACCTGTATTAAAGGGTCACAGCATCAGGAAGGTAGAAAAACACTGCTTAAGCTGGGCATTGGTGTTGCATGCCTTTAATCCCAGCACTTGGGAGGCAGAAGCAGGCGGATCTCTGTGAGTTCGAGGCCAGCCTGGTCTACAGAGCGAGTTCCAGGACAGCCTTCAAAACAATGCAGAGAAACCCTGTCTCGAAAACAACAACAACAATAACAACAACAAAAAACCTCAAAAAACACTGCTTTAGCAGAATAACTGGTGCTGAGAACTGTTTACAAGGAAGAAGGATGTTTAATTCATCATGTCTAGAAGATCCCAACAGTGTGGTGCCAGCATTTTGGCATGGGCCCTCTAAATACATCAAAATATAACGGAAGCAGAAAGGAAAATGGCCTCATGTACAAGAGGCCAAGTATGTGTGAGTAGTTACATTTTCTAAGAGTCCACCCTCAAGAGAAAGAGCAGTCCTCAGAGACCAGCACTTCCTTCCCAGGGGTCTGCCATGATAACCCCTTCACACTTGTGCTTCTAAAGGGTCCCAACACCTGCCGACACCATGGTGCTGGGAATCAGCCTTTGGCACACCAGCTGTAGGACACATTGGAGTCATATCGAACCATGTCAAAGAGATTTGTTCACTTTTCTTCAGGTACTTATTGCGTAAACGTGTGTGGGCCTGGTCCTAGTGCAATGGCCTCCTAGGAAGGGTAGTAAATGAATAAAGACACAAACCAACCCCTCAGGGACAAAGAGGGAGAGACAGGAAGGGTAGTCAGAAGGCCTGTCTGAAGGGGCGGCCTTTGACCGAAACCTAACACTTGCATAAAAAGGTCCTGGTTTCTGGGGAAAAGTTGCTGGGATTGAGTTGATATTTTAAGGTGGTGTAGTGAGGACAGTGGGGAGGCAGCCAGGGTGAGCTGGGAGGCAAGCCCGCTGTAGAGGCCCACATGGTGGCTTGCAACAGATTGGGGCCATGGAAGTGGGAGAAACGGCAAGAGAGGTCCCAGTAGGATTGCTCTGGCAGCACCGTGCCCGTTCTGTGGTGGACTTTGTATGGTCAGCAGGAGGGCTGGTTCTTGGCTGAGCTGGGCAGTTGAGGAAGATAAGGTGTGAAGGATGAACTTGGCTCACCTCAAGGAAGAGCAGTGATGTCCATGAGTCCAGGAGGAGAGGCCATATTGGTCACTTTCCTGTTGCTGTGATAAAATAGCATAGCAAAAGCAACTTTTAGAAGAGTTTATCTGACTTTTGGTTCCAGAGAGATAAGAGCCCATCGTGGTAGGGAGCATGGGGTAAACACGGTGGCTGGAGCAGGACCTGACAGCTCATCTGCAACCACAAACACAAAGCAGAGAGCCAACTGAGAGCACCGGGAGACAGGCAATTCTCAGAGCCCAGCCCAGTGACACACTCCCGCAAGGCCGGACCACCTAGCTTCCCAAGCAGCACCGCCAACTGGAGACCAAGGGTTCACACCTACAGAGTCTGAGTGTGGGCCTAGAATTCTGGGCAGTGCCTGGGGCTGTCGAGTGGCTGCCCTGGGCTGAGCCTGGGGAACACAGGTTTGCTCTTGGGTTTGCCATCTGACCCCTGGGCTGTAGCTGGAGGATGTATGTTGGAACCTTGGGCCGGGTGGAGCCACTTCAGGCGGCAGCATTTGGGCAGGTGGGGCCATCCTTCCTTGTCCACATCCATCTCAGCCCCCTACTCTCCCTCTCTGATCCTGGCCTCCCTTTGATTTCTCCTCACTTCATCAAAGCTGACTGTGTCCTCTACCCTTAGGGACCCTTGTTCTTGAGGCCACCAGGGCTCTCTGTTGGTCAGCCCAGAGGAGGCCTTCCCGGCCCTTTTCTGCTTGGGTCTCTCGGAGCTGTTTCACCAGAGCCTTCCTTTCCCGGGGGCAGCTTTTCTGATTCCCCTTGCTGCCTTTTCCTGGCATTCCTCTGCCCTTGGAGATGTTTCTCCAACACCTCATATTTTTGAAGCTGGCAGATATGCATGTAGGTACCTCTGTACCAGAGAGGAGGCTGTTTGGGCACGGTAAGAAATGTAAGGGTCATAGTCATGAAAACTGTGATGGGGCAGGGAGGAAGGGGCCAGGATGCTATCAAGGGGCCATATGGGGCTCTCACTCTGACGTGTGGATTTCTGTGGTCCAGACTTTGCTCAGAGGTCTAAAAGCCCAGTGTCTGCAGCCTACCTGTGTGCCTTCAGGCTCCAAGGGAGCTGGACCAAGGTTTTCCCAATGCACTCTGTTCTTCCTGTCCTTGTAGGGGAGATGCCAGATGGAGGTCTGGCCACCATCCTCTGCCTTGACACTTGGGTCTGTCTTTACTGACTACAGCTGTCAGTGGCGGTCATCACGTGGTATTGGACCCTGTGTCTTTTGTAGGCACCTGCACTGCTCTAGCATCCATGCTGGTGGCTGTTACAGGCTCAGGAGGACTGACAGAGAGGGCGGAGCTCAGCTCTCAGCCTGGCCCGGGGCCTTTGTGTCAAGCATCTTTTTACCTGCATCCTTGCTTACCCTGGGCCCTAGCCCCTTACTGGATGTATGACCCCTGCTTTTCCAGAAGACTTTTGTCCCTGTGTTCTGTGGTGACCTGTGTCAGCTCACCTTCTGGTCTTTTCCGTCTCCACCTGCCTTCTCTAGATTGTAAACATTTGGGGCCAGCCACCGAGGATACTGTAGCGTGATGAACAGCCCCAGCTGAGGTCAGGAACACAGTGGGCAGTGGCCAAGTACTCTGAATGCCCCTCT